AAAAAAAAAAAAAAAAAAAAAAAAAAAAGTAGTGATGTTTCAGAAAACCATGGTTTTTCTTTGAGGTGGAGGAAAAGCAGAAAACTATGTGTGGTAGACCCTCAGAAAAGAGAACTGGTGGATGCATACAAGTATTTGCATAAATATACAGGCTGTATTTTGGCCTTCTGGGGGTAGAGTCATAGAAGATTTGGGCCATGAAAAAGTGTGAATTGGGGAATAGTTTATCACATTCTGTTACAGGGGTGTATTAGATCAACTTAAATTGGTCTAATAAAAGATATCAGATTCACCCAAAGAACCTTGTCTGCCTCGCATTCTGCTAAGAACTTCTCTTTAAACAATGGATGCTTAGGATGGGAATACTGTTTCACTTTAGGCACCTAGATAGCACGTGTATTGCTGTATAATATGTTTTGTCCTGTAGACATTTAGATTTGCATTGTATATGTCTGTTTCTCCCTCAGCTTCACCCTGTGACTGAAAAATACTGTCATTACTATAACACCAGTCCTGTTAGCAGTATTATCTGTCTGATTCCAGTACGTATTTATGGCCAGTAATTATCTATGTAGATTGCAAGCTTTGCAGGAAAAGGGGCAGTATGTTAGATTACATGTAGCAGTGTGGTGCCTGCTGCCAGCACTCAAGTGGTAAAGACTAGTATGAGAAACTCTAATTACTATGACAGAATGAAGGATCTGTTACTGTTTGTTTTTCTTGCTGTGTTTATTTCAGGTGAAGTTCGGTATAAAAACTTGTACAAAATTCCTCTCAGTAACCTGGTTGGTAGGAGCATTGAACGTCCTCTGAAGTCGCCTTTAGTCCCTAAGGTCATCGCTACCCCAACGCCAAGTGGAATCACCTCTGTCCCTGTTACTCACTCATTATCCTTATCTCGTATGGAAATTAAAGAAATAGCAATCAGGACACGCAAAGAACTACTGGGTAGAATCTCCTTATTTTTGGTTGTAGTGATCAGTTGCTATTTATATCACCTGGAAATTTTGGGTCACCCACTTGATTCTGGAGATTGATTGGTACTGAGAAGACAATATGAAAAAAAATGAAACAGCATCAATTTAAAAAAAAACAGCCTCAGTATACAGAGATTGCATAAATCCTTTGATAAGTTATCTGAGACAGACACTTGGTTGAGACAGTTTAGTTGGGGATGATCCTGCCTTGAGTTAGGGGACTTGACCAGATGACCTCATGAGGTCTCTTCCAGCCTTCCTTCCTATAATCCTATGAAATCCACACAGGTTGGTATTTTAAGCCAATCAGAATGTAACTAGTAACTGACAGAAGGCAGTGAGAGATATTATAGCTATAACATCCCAATTAACATTTAGCCTCTTTTGGCAACTAAACTTTTTATTCCTTCCTTAAGGCCTCTTGGATGAGCCAGTTCCTAAGTCAGAAGGAGTGCAGAAGCAAAAGAAACTTCCTCGAAAACAGTCAGACCGTAAGCATGGAGCAATAAGGTCAACTAGCAGTGACAGGTAAATAAGGAGACCTCTAAAAGAATCTCACTAAATTAAAGCATTATGTCCTTGGGATGCAAACAGAGTTGTCCTAATGGTATGTACACAATGCATATCATAATTACCTTGGCTTAAATTGGACCTCAGAGCTGTTCTACAATGATTTTACCCTATGAGCTGTTTAAGTAAGAGGTTGTTCTTCATGTTGCTTTGGTGAGTCAGAACTGGTCCACGACTTTTTTGAATAAGCTTCTGTTGCCGTTTTAAGATTAAATCTTGGGTTTCTTGCTCTTTTATAACAAAGACTTGTATGTTGCATCTGGCTGAACCTAACAGGCAGTCAGAGTGGGTCTTTGTATGGTTGGCATCATGGCTCAACCTCCATCAATAGGGATTTTTCTAGGAGACCCACATGGTATGAACTTATTGGCCACTTCCTTCCTTCCCACAGGCCTTGTTGCTGCAAAGAAATTTGGCAGAGCAGCATGTATGGAACTTGTCTGTCCAGTCCTCCTCATCTGATCCTATGCCATAGCACTCTGCGTGATGGAATCCTTACTTATACAGGGCAGAGGCAGCAGGGTTTGACTCATTACTAATGATGCTTCATTACTTTTATTCTCTATTATTTAAAACAGTATGAAACTGATTTCAGGACCTTGAAAAGGAAGGAAAAAAAATACTGGGGCAGGGAGAGGGGAGGGCAACTGAACGTTTGAGTAAATTTAGGGATAAAGGTTATAGCCATGTTGGTCTAAAAGTACAAGCAGTCAGTGTGGTAGAGGTGTAATATCTTTTATTAGACCAACTACACAGTTGCAAAAAAATGTTCTTTATTTGCAAGCTTTTGGGCAAACGCCCTTCCTCAGGCATCAGAGATTGCAAAGATTGTAACATTTCTCATTTCTACTTGGTAGAAATTTTACAGCCTTTGCATTCTCTAATGTCTGAGGAAGGGCGCATGTGCCTGAAAAGCTTGCAAATAAAGTTTTTGTTTTTTGGGTGCAACTGTCTAGTTGGCCTAATAAGAGAGATCACTTCTACCACACTGGCTACTCAGTAAAATTAAGTTTGTGAACATGATATTTGTTACCATTTTCTAATGACCAAGTTAGTGAGAATAAGTGGAAAATCAGAGTGGTTTTTGGTTTTTTCAAAAGAGGAGGAATGAAATGCAATTCTCAGGACAGCAAGCGTTTTGACTCTGCCCATAGATTAACCTGCTTGAGTCCAGGGATAGGCACTTATACTGCTATTCTCTTTCATCTGGAAATGTTTACAGCAACTCTGTCTTCCTTCTTGCAGGATAATTTCAAGCTCCTTTGAAAGAAATTCTGAAGGCCGCCACCTTTCCACCAGTTCAGATCCTGATACTGCAGTAAGCAGGGAAGACAGTCCATCATCTAGCTACCTGTTTCAGCTTACTGCTTCATTTGATGAAGACATCATTGACTTGAAGTGAAGACAATCTAAAGATCCCTGTTCTTTCCTTTCCTTTTCTTATAATTCTGTAGGCCATGTAGGAATGTCACAGCACTGTTTCCAGTGGTAAAATGTGACTGGAAATGGAATGTATTGGTGATTACTCTTCATAGAACTCAACTTGTTCTTGTGAACTGGGCCTGAATTGGTGATGCTTATGTTTTTGTCTCTCTCAGTTAAAGAACCAGTGGTTCTGGTTGTAATAAGATGGTAGATAACAACAAGAGGTTTAGGCTGAAACTTTTAAGTAAATAAAAGTATTCATTCTAACTTACTCTAAAGTTAGTACCTTTCAAGCACCTGGCTGAAAGTAACATGCAACTAAGTGACTTGCAACCATCTGGATTCTGAATTGTTCTACAGTACAGCCTCAGTGTCACCTAGTAAGATACTTTTTTATAAGGAAACCCACCTCTATGCTTTTTATCTGTAAAAAATGTCAACCTTGTAACTAGATTCTTTTCAGTCAGGATCCACTATCCCTGATGTGATGCTGTTCTGTTATGTTTACTGAAGAACGAAGGATGTCAGGTAAGATAAGAGTATACTGCTTCCCTCACGCTGATCTTTCTCCGCACAAATTTCTTAGAGGAACCTGAAACCAGTCTTGAGTGCAAATATCCTGAAATGCAGATTTTTTTAAAACCATGTACCTTCAAATTATACTTTTAAAATGAATAATCTGTGACAGAGCAAGAAGCGATATGCATCAGGTTTACCCATCAGCCAGAATATTATGCCTTTGGTGTTCCTACAGACTTTTATAATAAACAATGTGTAGGAGCAAGATCTGATTTCTCCTTCCACGGTCCATAATATTTGGGTTCAAAGGTAAATCTCTTGTTAATAGGCAGATATCAGTAGTAGATGTTGTGTACGTGTGCATCAAATATATGAAAGGTACAATGATGGAGTATTTCTAAAAGCCATACTTCGTTTAGTAGGTCCAGGCTGAAGAGTCAGGTGGGGAGCAGCAATCTTTTTACAGTGGAAATAATGGAAGTAAAACATGGGTTGTTGGAAGGACAGGGTTTCGTTAACAACATGTGATTTTGATGCCTTTCCTGTATTTAAAAAAAAACCCAACTAAATAAAACAAAACAAAATTATTTCAAGAAGAAATTAGAGAGAGGCTTTTTAATTAAAATGAAGTGTTCTTATCCTATTAAAAAAAATTAAGATTTTAGCTGTTTGCAAATTACCTCTGGCTCTGTAACTAGAAATACTTCTGTACCCCATATTTCTTTTGTGATGTCATCCTTATGCCATGATTTCCTATTTCTTCTAAGCAGAAACATTTGCAACTTTCTGCCTTTTTATTCAGTACATCTGAATATATAGTTTTCTACCAAGTGCCCTGTTCTGTTTTCCTAACATCTATGTAGTTGTAATTGCTTCCCTTAAAAGATTAGCTTAATGGAAAAGATCATTTCTTCTTGCTTGTAGCAGCTGACCAAGGAAAGAAGTAATACTTTTTGCTGTTGTGATTGGTTATGATCACAACATTTTTTAAACTGTAAACCCGTAGGTTGTAATATTAAGACAAAACATCAAAAACTAGCTAAATGTTTTTGGCACAAATTTCCATTCCACAGTTATTGGAAGGAGCTTATATGCGCCCTGTGCCATTTACCAGTTCAGCTCAGGCTAAACAATCAAGCTGAAAACTGACAGGTCAGGCACACATTTCTGGTGAAGGTTGTAACACAGGGATAGGCAACCCCCAGCACAAGCGCCAGTGTGTGGCATGCCAAGGCATTTTGTTTGCCACGCATGCCTTGGGGCAGATGATGGGGAAGGGGTTGGGGCTATGCTCCCACAACAAGGATTGGGCCCCTTGTGTCTCCCCCACCATCAGCTCCTGGCATGCCAGCATCTTACAGGTCAGGGTTTTGGGTGTTTTTGGCAGACTGCCCCAAAACACTGTCAACGCCTGTTGTAACATTTCTGTGCGAGAGATTCTTTATGTAACTGCATTTAGGGCACACTATGTGAACGTGTCATTTGACCCTAGATTGGGCTCAACTGCACCCATGTAAGGAAAACTAATTGCACTACCAGCTGCTAATGAAGGCTGGAACAATTGCTGTTACTTCTTACCCTGTGGCCCTCTCTCTGGATGCACTGTGCCACTTCCATGTTGCTCATGTGTCCATGTTCTAGTCATTGTGAAGCCTGTATTGATGTGCTGCAATCCCAGGCTTTAGTTAAAATAAACTATAATTGGAAATTTTGTTTTGAAATGTTAAAATATTAGATTGTAGACCAGAAAAGATTTTGCAATTCTCTGTTCCCCACTGCTGTAGCATGGTCCACATGTGGCAGCCTGTGAATCAAGGAGAGTTGACTAGAGCCCAATGCTATGGGGGAGTTAAAAAGGCAAACTGAAGGGCCTGAACAAACCAGTGCATCTTCCATCCAGAAGGGACTGGAAAGGCCTGGGGGAGGGGGCAGTGCAGAGATCAGAAGAGCTGAAACACAGTAGCCACGAAGTGGCTTTTCCCAAGGCTTAGTTTTCTTCACCTTCATAGAACCTCTGAATTCTGCGTGTAATCACAGCATTGCGTGGCTCCAAGATAGTATCATCCAAGATAAACAGGGAGAAAATCGAGATGAGTTTTAAACTGATAATTCAGGATGTGTTTGTAATAGGAAGACTGTTAGTTGTTGGAACAATTTTGAGGGAACAGCACACCTTTAAAAAAAAAAAAAAAAAAAAAAGGTGTGGGAGGGGTGGTGTGTT